AGTCTCCCTGTGTCTCAGTCTCTCTCTCAGTCTCTCTCTCTGAGTCTCTCTCTCAGTCTCTCTCTCAATCTCCCAGTCTCTCTCTCTCAGTCTCTCTCTCAATCTCTGAGTCTCTGAGTCTCTCTCTGAGTCTCTCTCTGAGTCTCTCAATCTCTCAGTCTCTGAGTCTCTCTCTGAGTCTCTCAATCTCTCTCTCAGTCTCTGAGTCTCTCTCTGAGTCTCTCTCTGAGTCTCTCTCTGAGTCTCTGAGTCTCTGAGTCTCTCTCTGAGTCTCTCAGTCTCTCAGTCTCTGAGTCTCTCTCTGAGTCTCTCAATCTCTCTCTCAGTCTCTGAGTCTCTCTCTGAGTCTCTCTCTGAGTCTCTGAGTCTCTGAGTCTCTCTCTGAGTCTCTCAGTCTCTCAGTCTCTGAGTCTCTCTCTGAGTCTCTCAGTCTCTCAGTCTCTGAGTCTCTCTCTCAGTCTCTCAGTCTCTGAGTCTCTCTCTGAGTCTCTCAATCTCTCTCTGAGTCTCTGAGTCTCTCTCTGAGTCTCTGAGTCTCTGAGTCTCTCTCTGAGTCTCTCAATCTCTCTCTGAGTCTCTCAATCTCTCCCTCCGGCCTCCCCGCAGGGTGGCTACCGTAAGCCCCGCGTCACGGACGTCCTCCTGGTGCGTCTGCTCCTGCTCCCCTACTCGCTGCTCCGCTTCTCCGCCTTCCAGTCTCCCTGTGTCTCAGTCTCTCTCTCAGTCTCTCTCTCAATCTCTCTCTCTCAATCTCTCTCTCAGTCTCTCTCTCAGTCTCTCTCTGAGTCTCTCTCTCAGTCTCTCTCTCAGTCTCTCTCTCAGTCTCTCTCTCAGTCTCTCTCTGAGTCTCTCTCTCAGTCTCTCTCTCAGTCTCTCTCTCTGAGTCTCTCTCTCAATCTCTCTCTCTCAGTCTCTCTCTCAGTCTCTCTCTGAGTCTCTCTCTCAGTCTCTCTCTCAGTCTCTCTCTCAGTCTCTCTCTCAGTCTCTCTCTCAGTCTCTCTCTCTGAGTCTCTCTCTCAGTCTCTCTCTGAGTCTCTCTCTCAGTCTCTCTCTCAGTCTCTCTCTGAGTCTCTCTCTCAGTCTCTCTCTCAGTCTCTCTCTCAATCTCTCTCTCAGTCTCTCTCTCACTCTCTCTCTCAGTCTCTCTCTGAGTCTCTCTCTGAGTCTCTCTCTCAGTCTCTCTCTCAGTCTCTCTCTCAGTCTCTCTCTCAGTCTCTCTCTCAGTCTCTCTCTCTCAGTCTCTCTCTCAGTCTCTCTCTCTCAGTCTCTCTCTGAGTCTCTCTCTCAGTCTCTCTCTCTCAGTCTCTCTCTCAGTCTCTCTCTCAGTCTCTCTCTCAGTCTCTCTCTCAGTCTCTCTCTCTGAGTCTCTCTCTCAGTCTCTCTCTGAGTCTCTCTCTCACTCTCTCTCTCAGTCTCTCTCTCAGTCTCTCTCTCAGTCTCTCTCTCAGTCTCTCTCTCTCCCAGTCTCTCTCTCAGTCTCTCTCTGAGTCTCTCTCTCTCCGTCTCTCTCTCAGTCTCTCAGTCTCTCTCTGAGTCTCTCTCTGAGTCTCTCTCTCAGTCTCTCTCTCAGTCTCTCAGTCTCTCTCTGAGTCTCTCTCTGAGTCTCTCTCTCAGTCTCTCTCTGAGTCTCTCTCTCAGTCTCTCTCTCAGTCTCTCTCTGAGTCTCTCTCTCAGTCTCTCTCTCTGAGTCTCTCTCTCAGTCTCTCTCTGAGTCTCTCTCTCAGTCTCTCTCTGAGTCTCTCTCTCAGTCTCTCTCTCAGTCTCTCTCAGTCTCTCTCTCTCAGTCTCTCTCTCAGCCTCTCTCTCAGTCTCTCTCTGAGTCCTCTCTCTGAGTCTCTCTCTCAATCTCCCAGTCTCTCTCTCTCTCAGTCTCTCTCTCTGAGTCTCTCTCTCTCAGTCTCTCTCTCAGTCTCTCTCTCAGTCTCTCTCTCAGTCTCTCTCTCAGTCTCTCTCTCAGTCTCTCTCTCAGTCTCTCTCTCAGTCTCTCTCTCAGTCTCTCTCTGAGTCTCTCTCTGAGTCTCTCTCTCTCAGTCTCTCTCTCAGTCTCTCTCTCAGTCTCTCTCTCAGTCTCTCTCTGAGTCCTCTCTCTCAGTCTCTCTCTCAGTCTCTCTCTCACTCTCTCTCTCAGTCTCTCTCTCAGTCTCTCTCTGAGTCTCTCTCTCAGTCTCTCTCTGAGTCTCTCTCTCAGTCTCTCTCTCAGTCTCTCTCTCAGTCTCTCTCTCAGTCTCTCTCTCAGTCTCTCTCTGAGTCTCTCTCTCAGTCTCTCTCTCAGTCTCTCTCTCAATCTCTCTCTCAGTCTCTCTCTCAGTCTCTCTCTCAGTCTCTCTCTCAGTCTCTCTCTCAGTCTCTCTCTCAGTCTCTCTCTCAGTCTCTCTCTCAGTCTCTCTCTCTCAGTCTCTCTCTCAGTCTCTCTCTCAGTCTCTCTCTCTCAGTCTCTCTCTCAGTCTCTCTCTCAGTCTCTCTCAGTCTCTCTCTCTCAGTCTCTCTCTCAGTCTCTCTCTCAGTCTCTCTCTCAGTCTCTCTCTGAGTCTCTCTCTCAGTCTCTCTCTCAGTCTCTCTCAGTCTCTCTCTCTCAGTCTCTCTCTCAGCCTCTCTCTCAGTCTCTCTCTGAGTCTCTCTCTGAGTCTCTCTCTCAATCTCCCAGTCTCTCTCTCTCTCAGTCTCTCTCTCTGAGTCTCTCTCCCAGTCTCTCTCTCAGTCTCTCTCTGAGTCTCTCTCTGAGTCTCTCTCTCAATCTCCCAGTCTCTCTCTCTCTCAGTCTCTCTCTCTGAGTCTCTCTCTCTCAGTCTCTCTCTCAGTCTCTCTCTCAGTCTCTCTCTCAGTCTCTCTCTGAGTCTCTCTCTCTCAGTCTCTCTCTCTCAGTCTCTCTCTCAGTCTCTCTCTCAGTCTCTCTCTGAGTCTCTCTCTCAATCTCTCTCTCAGTCTCTCTCTCAGTCTCTGAGTCTCTCTCTCAGTCTCTCTCTCAGTCTCTCTCTCAGTCTCTCTCTCTCAGTCTCTCTCTCAGTCTCTCTCTCAGTCTCTCTCTCAGTCTCTCTCTCTCAGTCTCTCTCTCAGTCTCTCTCTCAGTCTCTCTCTGAGTCTCTCTCTCAGTCTCTCTCTGAGTCTCTCTCTCTCAGTCTCTCTCTCTCAGTCTCTCTCTCACTCTCTCTCTCAGTCTCTCTCTCTCAGTCTCTCTCTCAGTCTCTCTCAGTCTCTCTCTCAGTCTCTCTCTCAGCCTCTCTCTCAGTCTCTCTCTGAGTCTCTCTCTGAGTCTCTCTCTCAATCTCCCAGTCTCTCTCTCTCTCAGTCTCTCTCTCTGAGTCTCTCTCCCAGTCTCTCTCTCAGTCTCTCTCTCAGTCTCTCTCTGAGTCTCTCTCTCAGTCTCTCTCTGAGTCTCTCTCTCAGTCTCTCTCTGAGTCTCTCTCTCAGTCTCTCTCTGAGTCTCTCTCTCAGTCTCTCTCTCAGTCTCTCTCTGAGTCTCTCTCTCAGTCTCTCTCTCAGTCTCTCTCTCAGTCTCTCTCTGAGTCTCTCTCTCAGTCTCTCTCTGAGTCTCTCTCTGAGTCTCTCTCTCAGTCTCTGTCTGAGTCTCTCTCTCAGTCTCTCTCTCAGTCTCTCTCTGAGTCTCTCTCTCAGTCTCTGTCTGAGTCTCTGAGTCTCTCTCTCAATCTCCCAGTCTCTCTCTCTCAGTCTCTGTCTGAGTCTCTCTCCCAGTCTCTCTCTCAGTCTCTCTCTCAGTCTCTCTCTCAGTCTCTCTCTCAGTCTCTGAGTCTCTCTCTCAGTCTCTCTCTCAGTCTCTCAGTCTCTCTCTCAGTCTCTCTCTCAGTCTCTCTCTCAGTCTCTGAGTCTCTCTCTCAGTCTCTCTCTGAGTCTCTCTCTCAGTCTCTCTCTCAGTCTCTCTCTCTGAGTCTCTCTCTCAGTCTCTCTCTGAGTCTCTCTCTCAGTCTCTCTCTCAGTCTCTCTCTCAGTCTCTGAGTCTCTCTCTGAGTCTCTGAGTCTCTCTCTGAGTCTCTGAGTCTCTCTCTGAGTCTCTCTCTCAGTCTCTCTCTCTGAGTCTCTCTCAGTCTCTCTCTCAGTGTCTCTCTCAGTCTCTCTCTCAGTCTCTGAGTCTCTCTCTGAGTCTCTCTCTCAGTCTCTCTCTCTCAGTCTCTCTCTGAGTCTCTCTCTCAGTCTC